ATTGAATACCTCACATTCCTATTGCATGGTGCGTTACGCGTAATCGTTGATTAAAGCTTAATGCAGTTTCAATGTTATAATGTTCTAGACTATATTTTATCATAACTCGGATGTGTACGGTGCCTTGATAAGAAGCTATCAATATACAAAGGGACGCATCCGAGTGACTGAAAACGGGATTACCGAAGAGTGCTTAGTATACTGTCCATTTCACCAACAAACAATTACCAGTGATTTTATAAATGGTAGGGTAATCACGTAATCTGAACTCCTGCCATTTCGTTGTAATGATCTCCCGCTATCAAGAAGTCGCGTCTTGTATGACATGGCATGAAGAGCACTTCACCGAAACTAGAATGGGCTTTACTCAGCAACCAATATGGGTAAGGCGGCACGTGTTGCTATTAAAAATGACAGCGAAATACTTTCGATCGACCTTCATGATAAACTCTGTTAGTTAGCATTTGTGGTGTCCTGACTTACTCCTTAAGTCCACGTTTGCACGCACTGTCGTTTAGATTAAACGTTCTGGCTAACTTCATAAAACGTTTCCCAAGGTTAGTTTGCCAAAGATAGTATTTTTGGTAAGAACAGCGAACATTTAATTTTCATCGTGCGTGGCACTTGCATTATCGAGACAAATATACTTACAATTACACCTTGCGCAACAACAGCTCCAAACGGTTCAGGGAGCCTGTGAAACAGTCGGGAACCTTTGGTCTCCGTCACGCGTGCGAGTCTCGGTGGTTTCTTAGGAACCTTCTTCCCAGGACGCAAATAAAGTCTGCGCGCGCGCGTGCGTGCGTGCGTGTGTGTGTGTGTGTGTGTGTGTGTGTGTGTGTGTGTGTGTGTGTGTGTGTGTGTGTGTGTGTGTGTGTGTGTGTGTGTGTGTGTGTGTGCGTGCGTGCGTGCGTGCGTGCATAGCCTCCTTTATTTTCTGTGCCTGCGCTTTGCCGCCGGGATCAAAGGGAGCCGACCGTCAGGCTGAGTTCCCGCAATCACCACCAGGCGGCGCTGCCTTCCCAGAACCGGCAGAGCCTGTTCACTGACTCCGGTGCTACCGCCGGCACTGACGGGTGGGTCCTTCGTTGCGCGTTTGTAAGCGCGGCAAGCTTAAAAAACAAAAGTGTGATACCACTCCCGTGTGCCACTTAAATATTTAGGAGAAAACATATGCAAGAGAGAAAGAATAAGTACGCAAGATAGCACATTGAACAGAACACCATACCTTCAAGGAAACGGTAGAGAAACTTGTTTATTGCGTATTAATTCGTTGCCCTCGCTCAGGTTCTCTGATAGCACTATTAACGCTTCCCTCGGGAAACGTTCCGCAGCCTGCACAGCAATGACTGGTCGCCGCGTCACTGATCGCCGCGTCACTTCTCGGGGCTTTTGTCGAAGGCTGCAAGTAGCGCGGATATTCTTCGAATACGCTAGGCACCACACCTTTCATAAGCCTTCGTGTTTTACATCCTTGCTTAAAATCAGAAGCAGCGAAATGACGACTGCACACGGTTGAGTAGCTGGAAGTGGTGTTCGGCGTCCAATTGTCTCGTGAAATGACTTTTATCCACTTTTGCCGCAACTCCTCGTCGCTTGGAATTTCGTGGACTGAAATTCCTACTTCCTTCTTTTTGCTTGAAGACTTGCAACCGGGCACGCAACAGTACGACATCGCACCTGACGCGGGTCATCACAGCCGAATGAACCACGGAGACTTGTGTGCGTAGGCCGCTGCACGAGACAGAAACGAGAGAAACCGTAAACTAACATTCCTGATTACTTAGCGAAATTCGCTGATAGGTGCGCGGAAAAGCCTCGCGAGAAAGAAGCGCGAAAAATGATAGCAAAGCAGGAAACCGGCCCTGCAAACACGAGGTGCAAACGACGTTGTTTGTTTACACGCACTCACTTATTGCCGCGTGTCATCTGTTCACGCAACACAATGAAGCAACAGTTAAATATCGTACTTGCTGAAAGTACTACGCTGCGAAGATAGGTGCGCGGAAAAGTATTGCCAGAAAGAAGCGCGAAAAATGATAGCCGCGCTTGACAACGGCCGTGCAAACGCGGGGTACAAACGACGTTGTTTGTTTATACGCACTCAGTTAATGCCGCGTGTCATCTGCTCACGCAACACAATGAAGCAACAGTTACAATTATACTTGCTGAAAATACTTCGTACCGTTTTGGTCGTAAATAATTGGTGTTGCAAACGTATGCGACACGAACAAAGGTTTCCTGGAGATGCGTCGCCGTGGCTGAATGCGCCGACACGATTCTGGGATGCGAGCGCCCCTGGTGTACAGCAGACGCAAAAAGAGAGGAGGATGCGGGAGGCGGCCGAACGGGCCCGGCGGACTGACTGCGCGGGCACAGAAAATAAAGGAGGCTATGGTGTGTGTGTGTGTGTGTGTGTGTGTGTGTGTGTGTGTGTGTGTGTGTGTGTGTGTGTGTGTGTGTGTGTGTGTGTGTGTGTGTGTGTGTGTGTGTGTGTGTGTGTGTGTGTGTGCGTGTGTGTGTGTGTGTGTGTGTGTGTGTGTGTGCGTGTGTGTGTGTGCGTGTGTGTGTGTGTGTGTGTGTGTGTGTGTGTGTGTGTGTGTGTGTGTGTGTGTGTGTGTGTGTGTGTGTGTGTGTGTGTGTGTGTGTGTGTGTGTGTGTGTGTGTGTGTGTGTGTGTGTGTGTGTGTGTGTGTGTGTGTGTGTGTTAGAGAAAGAGAGGAAGGAAGGAAGAAAAGAAGCTTGCACGACTCAGTTACATAGGTGTTTGACAAGCGTGCTGTGGTCTTGCAGCATGCTTGTGAAATTACTGTGAAATTCTCACAAATTTTTCCCATATTACTGTTCAACTAAAATGTATCAAGAGCCAAATTCAATTCGAGCTAGTGACATTCTTCAACATATACGGCGTTGAATGTGGCTTAATCCGGTATTTTCGGCAATGGCGCTTGGTTTCGTTGGGGCCACAGAAATGTCTCCCAGGTGAGAGGTATAGGTAGTCTTGTCGAAACGCTTACTTGGCTTTGCTCACTTCGAGGAATAATAGCGATAGAAGCCAGCGGCTGCACGTCCTGTTGCATCGGCTTCACGTGATTTTTACACCCGTTCGCACTCTTGAACACGTTTGTGCTATTTTTTTTTTCCGAATGAACGACAAGTGTCTGTCCCATTGCGAGTCCAAAGGGCAACTCCTCTTAAGAGCCAAAGCACGATCTCTACGTCGCAAGACAACAGGGTACTGCGATTGGCGTGTACTTCCTCACCCAAGTATGGAGACATTTGTGAAATAGGCATCGGTGGTGGTGAGGAGGGTGAGGGCTACTTGTAGCGAAGGGCAGCGAAAACTGTTGTTCTGCGAGCTTTTTGCCGCAGATCGACCCACCAGAACCTCGTCGTCAATGTACGTTTTGACCTTGCTGTTTCGCGTTTTTTCTCGTTTGTCTCAGGCCACCAGTCGTTGCTCTTCGATATGCAGTATAGAGCACCGCCGTGAAATCAAGTCGCTCATTATCTTTTACCAGCAGGGTTTAAATCTGTGTTCATTGGTGTATTCGAACAGTTCGCCTCCATTGAAGTGCTGGTACGCAACTGACAACCGAAACAGAGTCCTTTACTTTACAGTACTTTACAGTAGTTTACAGAAGAGTACTTTACAGAATGTATGAGACACTAAGATACTTTGGTAGACGGGATGTGCTGGCCTTGCCCCATTTCTGTTTTTCCTGTAATGCCACTCGGCTGAACAACGTGTCATAAGCTGCAGAAGGAATATTTATTGTCGCGGTGGGCACAGGAGAAGCCCCGCATGTTACAGGCGCATGCAGATTAAAACCCCGTCAATAACAATAGCAACGTGGCTTAGAACTCTTCTTTGTGAGGGCAGTAAATATTAGACACCGATGCAAGAGGAAACTGGGGCTTTATTCTTAAAAACTACTGTTTAATTTGTAACTAACGTTTGGAGCTGGACTTGCTGACTGATAATTATTTATGGTCGCGGCAATACAACCGAGTCTATGGTAATGGAGTAGCACCTGTCACTTGGCGGGTTGATTCATACTACAGACATATCCACATCACAGAGAATGAAATAATGGTGATTTAGTGAAAAAAATATGTACTAATACGAGATTTCAGGGTGGAGCTGCGAAAGTCAACGCTTTGTTTACCTCGTTACTGTTGAAATTCGAGCTTGCCGGTATATTGTACTGGAAGAAAATAGCACTGGTAGAGGAAGGACAAAGACATGACAGAGCTGCTAACGCTTGCTCTTGCGTCATTTGTCATCGCCTGTTCTTGCTCAACCAGCGCCATTTGGTTGGACAATATTGCCTACCCCCTTGTGATTCTTTTCTGTTGTCTTAAGCGATAGTAGAAATAGGGTCTCCACAAAGTCCTTTCTCGAATGTTGTCGTCATAACAATATCGTTTAGGCGCAATTGTTATCCAGCCTAACATCCCCGACGCTGGCAAACTGCAGTTCTCGCAACACCGAACTCAAGATATATCCCATTTATCGTGGTATAATGCAGTCTAACCCGAACGTACTTGCTTAATTTACACTCATCAATGGAAACCAAACACTTCAATGTTATAATAGTGGCAGGTTAATGCACCGCAGCAAAGTTAACGCCAAATACTCTCATGATAAAGGACGGTAGGCTTCAATACACCGATACAAGAGGGACGTCAGAGTTCTTCAAACGCCGTGGTTAATTGTGTTCGGATTTGAAACTTTACCATTTCTCATCATAAATCCTAACAGTGCCTTGTAATACATACTATCGTGAGCATGGGGGCAAACTTTAGGTGTAGGCACACAGGAGGATTCACTCGGATGCTACCGATAGCGTGAAAAGACGAAGTATACTCTGTGCAAAGCACTTAAATGTACACTGTGCAGGCAGTATCGGTGTGTCGGTACATTAAGGTGATCATCCATTGAAGGCGACACATTGACAAAGTCGCTGATCGCAACGTGCACCGCAATAGTCCGTGTTGTCAGCTGCACGAAGCGTCCGAAGCGAGGTACGCCTTGTGTTCGGCACGCTTTAGAGAAACCGTGGCATTCAGCAGCCGCGACCTCCTCCGGTGGTACTTGAACCACAGCACCGCTCCGATAGCCGCCGCTAAACCTAACGTGGCGGCCACAGCGACGCAGACGATGACGAGGACCGTGGTGTCCCTGGGCGGAGGCACGGCGGTGTTTTCTGTCGATGCTATATCTGCGAAAAAAAGAAAAGTTGAGCAAAGTGAGACGTTTTGCTAAGTTGACGTCACGAAATGCAATGTTTGGAGCGCGCACCTCTTTAACGTGCGGACATAGAAATGAAACCTACAGTTCGGAATACCCAGTTCGTGATGAGCATACGGACCACACGTTTAAGCTTGGCTGGTTTAACCATTTGGACAGAATACTACAGGTGATAGTTTCTATGGTCACTCAGTAATTTACGCAGTCCTGTCATCGTAGTAGTAATAGTAGTACCAGGCATCATGCAAGTCTTGTGAACAGAGGTGGAGTTAATAAGGAAATAAATAAAAGAAAATAGGCTTCCTTTTTTAGGCGCTATTTGAGCCGAATCCCTCATGGTCTGAAGGCAAGTGTCAACCATTGAGCTTTGCACACACGCTCCCGGCACCACGTATCAATGACTACATTTCAAACCTAGCGGCAGATTGGCACACCGAGTGATCTCGCTAGCCAATCACATACACATACACGCGCGTGCTTCGTTAGCGACCGTTTTCTACAGCGCGTAACTGGCTGAATCATTTATATCGTTACATTTAGGCAAGCACCTCACGTTTTCTGAGGCTCTGGGCTGGTGCCAGGGTCCTGACGTAAGTGACGAACGTGTTAGATTCCGTCTCCAGCCTCGCCAGCACCAGGTAGTCCGTTGCCGGCCTGAGACCGGTCAGCAAAAGAGGGTCCCCGCTGGTCTCAGCGGAGGTTACCCAGAATCCTCGCACCGACCTGTTACCCGCCGTCGCGTCGAACAGCTCGATGCGTAGCCGGGTTTTGGTGGCTTTTACTCCGTGTGCCTCGCCGCTCAAGGCTCGACCGTGCCGACGAGAAAAGCACGCGATTGAGAACGAAGTGTCCGTGTAGTTCCCAACAGTGCAGTCGAGGCTGGATTCTCGGTCACCTGCAGCACATACGGAGAATCTTAAAGGGCATGGGTGCATGCACTGAAGATGGGGGGGAAAAGGCGCTCTTCTATCGTCTTAAAGGGGGTTCCAATGCTGTTGCATTCGTTCACACAGTGGAGCCTTTCACTTCATGTTTTAAAAGCACAGTTTTATGGAACACACGTTTTTTTTTTTTTTCACAATTGCGATCAGGGGCACCTTATGACACAATAAAGGTACTGTGTACATGGTCGATCGCCTCTAGGGTGAACGCCTGAACAGTATTCAAACCGGTAAAATGGAAACGTAAGCTCTACTAAATGTATGTTATATGACGCTTACGGCGTCGATGAACACAATATTAATTTCCCGGGAATGATATTGAACTTGCAGTTCTATGATGGCTTCACTACAAATGAGGTGAAACTTTGTTACCGAGTGAAGTCACCTGGCTACACTGTATACCCACCCCTTATGTAATACCCCCTTGAGGGGTCTTTAAGGAAATAAAGAGATGTTTTGTGATGTGATGAGGTGTCCACCATAAATGTGGGCGAACCTTTACTTCCCACCTCCACCCCGGAAAGCTTGGAGCCAATAGCAGGCTTATGTAGGAAGCACATAATCGCTTCATCCGGGTTTATTGTACAGGAATGCACAGCTGCCATAGAAATCCAATCATTCTTACGCCGCAACTGGAAGCGGTTTCTGCAAGGCTCCCGCTGCGTGCCCACGGCGTTCCTCGCCCAGCAGAGAAGCGTCGCGTGAAACAAATGCGCGTCCACAACAACTTCCAGCTGGTTCGATCTCTGGAGTTCCGGAGTCCCCTCTTCCAACCACGCGTATTGTGTTCCGGCGCCCTGGGTTCGCGTCAGCTGGCGCCTCTTTCCGGCGGCGTCCTCGGCGATCCAAAAGAACTGCAGCTCTTCGCCAGGATCCGCGGTCACGTCGCAGGTGACGTTCAGTTGCTCGTTGGGCCTTGCCGCCAGAACCTTGTATTGGGGAACACCGCAGCGTGGCGCGTCTGTAACAGGCAACGTGATGGTGGCGGGTTAATTAGCACTGTCATACATAAGTGTTTACGGTGAAGAAAAATGAGAAAGTGACGTGGGCACAGAGACAACCGATGACTTTGTACTAACGTAGGAAAGAGGGTTTAGAGAGAAGGAGGAAAAGAAGGGGGGAAAATGCATGTGCATGCAGGAGAAAACAAGACACGCACACTAACATAGTGAGAGCATCTCTGCTACAATCGTTCAGGAGATGCTGGTGAATCGCAAAAAGCGCAGTAGCGCTTGCAATGCGTTTTTCGGTGTCCCCCTCCCCCGCGGCTGGGTAGCAAACCGGATGCTCATATCTGGCTAACCTCCCGGCCTTCTTCTTCATCTCTCTTTTTGTTGTACTAACGTTTATTAGGGCAATAGCCTTAGAGGCTTCGTCGAAAGCGAAAAGTGGTCGTAGGCGTCAGCGCTGCCTTCTTCAACGCGCGCGGTGTAAAATATCAACCCGCGATCACCGCGCGAGATATCACGGATCGACAAAACTTGTGACGCTATCATGACGTCATGTAAGAAGGACATGACATTTTCGCTTCGTTAAAGTTTGGCTGATCATGGAGGCAGTGCAGAGCCAGGTGAAGTGTAGAACGCCTCAAGGATCAGAGGCATTGCAAGCTTTGTACGCTTCACCTAGCTTTGCACTGGCTCCGTGATCGGCGCCCTCTTTTGACCAAAGGATAACGTAATGCGAAGTGTCATCGCCACGTCGTGGTATGTGACTGCACGATGTCGCCCTGATGAGGCCTTACATTTTATAAATCTTTGACGTCACCGTGATCGCTGACATTTATGATGACGTCATGCAGTGAAGTCATCGTGGCATGACTTTTTCGTCAGTCTTGTCGGCGCCGATGGTCTAATTTCGCGTTTGATAAAGCATCTAAGGCCTCCGCCTTAAAGTCCCTGCGCCTTCCACTATTCGTGACCTTTGAAACCGAAGAAAATATACTAACATCTAACACGAAGCTCCAGGGGGACACTCTCCACGCTCTCGCCATCAGCAGTGTTGGCGGTGCAAGTGTAACGGCCGGACTGGTCGGCGGTCACGCCTCGGATGACTAGGTAGCGAGACGTCACTAAAGCGTCGGACGGTCCATCGTCCCCAGTGAGCTCCTTCACCGGCGTTCCTTCGTGACGCCAGGTGACGTCGACGACCTTCGATGCAGCCAGCACCGAACACTCCATGTAGACGTCCGCACCCTCGACAATGTGGCTAGCATTGAGGCCCGCGCCAAGACGAATGCTAACTTCCGTTTTGCCTGCGAGATGTGTTTGGGCAATCAGAATGCGTAATAAAAATGTTTCACAAGAAAATTTCACTTATCAATATCAAAAGCTCATTTTAACGGCCACCTGTAACGTTGACAAGCTACACTTCAGACTAAGACGTAAGTATACACACAATCTACATGGCATCACGCACAAAATGAGAATACACCGGACGTGCGTGGACTGGCAACTGTCACAGCTCGACACATGAAGCGTGCTGTTCGAAGAAAGAAAGAGTGCGAAATGAACGCACAAGTATACACAAAACGAGCTCTCACAACTGTCTCAATTTTTACTTCATCGACTGTGAACAGCGTGCTCTTTTCTTAAAAGCAACCGCGGCAGCTCTCCCGATTCATGAGTCCGATAAGCGTCCACGCAGGACAGATCCCCAATCTGTGGAGGCGAAGCCTATGGAAACGCGACAGACGACCATCGCGCCATCTCGCTACTGTTGACTGATTGATATTGGGGTTTAACGTCCCAAAACCACCGTATGATGATGAGAGACGCCGAAGTGGAGAGTCGCGACTGTTGACGAAAACGCGCTGAAGTTTCTCTGAGGACTGCCAAACGGTGTATGGTGTATACAAATGGCTTGCCTTTAGCAGGCGTGGCAACGCACAGTTTCTAGAGTGGTGGTTAGCCTCGCGCACTGGAAATCGCGAAATCACTGGTTCGACGCCCCGCGACAGAATCTTTCTTCCTCGCTTTTAGATGTGATGGCGTACGGTCGAGTTTAATTAGGGGTGGTGGTGGTGGTGGTAGTGGTTAGAAGAAAGAGGAAAAAGGCACCTAATTTCTGTCTGCCTTCAGGCGACACGGCGCAGTGCCTTATAGGGGTGGGGGAAGGAGGGATAAAAAGAATAGAAGGAAAATAGACGAAGAAGTAGACAGGCAAGCGACGGAAAAAAGGAGATAGGAAAGTGGGTATCCGGTCGAAGCAGTCCAAGGGCGGGGCGCCACAATGCGAGAGCTGCACGGTGTCAGAAGACCGCGGAGGGCGAACCAGTCGGCGGGAGCTACGCTGGCGTCAGAAATCGCGAGGGCACAACCGTCCAGCTTGAAATCCTGCGAGCAAATCCGGGGTGTGGCGTGCCCACTCTTACTGCATATGCACATTCCCTCCCCCTCCTCTCTCTCGAGGCGAGAGACGGGAGAGCGTAGGAAGTGGTCGCGCATGTGCACTGGGGTGTCAGCGCTGCGGAGAGAGATGTCTAGAGGAGAGAGAGAATGAAGATGGCGTTGGCAAAGCGTCTCCTCTTTCGCCCCGCAACGCCGGCGCAGACGCCGGCGTTACGGGGCGAAAGAGGAGACGCTTTGCCAACGCCATCTTCATTATCTCTCTCCGCAGCGCTGACACCCCAGTGCACATGCGCGACCACTTCCTACGCTCTCCCGTCTCTCGCCTCGCGACGCCGACGCAAGCAGCGTCTGCTGGTGTACGCTCGCCCTCCCCCATGCCCTCCCCCTCCTCTCCTACGTTCCCTCATTTTTTTGCTTCGCAACGCTAACGCTGGCAGCGTCTGCTTGCGAGTTTCTTGATTGACAACACTCACTGTGCTCGCGCTGCGCAACCATTCTCTGCACACCGATTATATAGACACTGGATCTTGACCTCCAAGGTAGTGCCGGGGGGGGGGGGGGGGGGGTTCTCTTTTGTGTTGTTGAACAATAAAAATTCGCAGAATGCGCTTTAACTAAAAGCGGACTGCGGGTCTCTGTGTGCAATAGGAGTCTTTTGCCTCTCATTGCCCATAGGCACTGTTCAGTCGAGTTTTTTATTCTGACTGCAGCGCCAGAATACAGAGACTAGCGGATAAATAAAAAGCATCCTTCCGACGACCTCAATGAAAATGTGAAGCGACACGCACGTCACAAGCCCTGAATCTGTCGCTGGATTGTGGCTGGGGGACGCGAGCACACGTCTACTTTCGGCGCGCTCCTAACGGCGAATGTGAAAGACTTTTAGGCGGGGCAGTGTGAGCAACGCAGCTCCATCTAGTCAGTCTGCGGTCCCTATTAGCAGCGATTGGCACGTTCCAGTAGGAAACAACGGTTTATCACTGCGTGCTTCGTGCTTCTCGAGGTTTGCCGAGTATGCCACCGCCAGTTTAAGTGATATCTTCCGCTGCTTCGCATCTACACATGGTCTCTTTTAGCGAAAGATGTGATTTTTGTTTTCAGCCTCGTCATATCCGTATAGCGTAAGCACGTCAGCGGAGCCGTGGTGGACCCCGGCATTAAACAGTTTCGTGTTATGCTGACACAGGACAGTAATATAGCTCAGAACAACATTCTTTATATGTTTAGCTGCAAGCATCTAAGTGTCTTTACAGCCGATTTTATATACAGTGGCTTATGCGCTCCGGGTACTGAGTTAGCCACTGCCTTCCTGGCCTCCTCGGCCTTGTGCCTTTCACTTACGGGACATGTCCACGTTGAGGAAGCGGCTCAGCACCCCTCTGCTCTCGGGTAGGTTTCCGTTGACTGCCCGGCACTCCAAAAGGCGCCCTGACTGCGCCGACGCCGGAAGGAGGAGCATGCTGGTGGTCACGTTACCCGCGGTCACGCTGCGACTGAAAGCCGGCTCTACTGCATTTCCGTCCAGGAACCACGTGACGTTTGCCGCCGGTCGACTTCCGGTGACTTCGCACTCGAAGCTGGCGGGCTTAGAGAATCCAGACGGCGAGCCAAAGCGTATCGCACCCATAGCCTCGAAAAGCACGGCTTCTCGGTCGGCAAGGGCGAGACCTGGCCCAGAAGTCGTAGTCATGGTGACGATATTGGGTGGAGGCGAATGCTGCGTAGCCGCGCTGGATGATTCCACCAAACCTGAAGGGTCATCGGTCTGCTGAGCAGGCCAGCTCCAAATGGTTACAGTCGTTGGAGCCACTGTGAGGGAGGGAAAATTGGCGCCACTGGTGAGCGTCTCTCAGAGAAGTAGTCCTTGTCAGGTGTATAACCAAGGGCATAAACTTGGAGCCTTACGGAAAAGGCTCCACTTATGTTGAGGATGAAGTTAGGCAAAAAAAGGTGTTAGGCAAAAAAAAACGAGCAGAGAGGGTGAGAGAACAAACGTGTGTTAAGAATGAAATAGCCGAAATCAAGAACAAATCGACATGGGCAGGGCACAGAACGCTAAGGCAATGTACCACTGGTCATTATTAGTGGCAGACTGAATTTTTATAGAAGGCAAGTGAGGGAGGGAGAAAGGGAGGGAGGGAGGACTACTGGTTAGAGGAGTACTGATTACACCTGAAACTTTAGTCACAAGTACAAATTATTAAAACAATATTGGTCCCATATCTGAATGTTTCACAGCAAATGTCGTCGAAAGTCTTGCGTCCAGAGAGAGTGAACAAGACATTTATTTGATGTTCTTCGCGAGAGAATTGGTGAATCGTATTCTGGAAGCGCTGTGTTAGAGTCCCTTGATCCGTGTAGCGAAGGCGAACGAGCGCATCGAGGCACGGGAGACACGAGCGCTATCTGGTAGTTATCTTCCAAAACGAAGAAGGCATGCGCGCCTGCTTTGTAGGTGATAAGATGTGGAACGAAAAACGACGAGGAGGTGCCACCACTGCGTCGTCTTAGCAAAGCGTCGGACACGCTCGCTTTGTTTTTGTGCATTGCGTTGCATTGTCAGCGCAGTGCGACAAAGGCTACGGTCCTTAGAAAAACTTATGCCTTCTCCAGTATAAAGACACACATACAGAATATAGACGTGTTGCATTCGTGCCTCAGATATGCGCAATAATTGCTTTTCAATTGACAATCGCAAAAGTATGAATGTTGAAACTCGAGCAATATTGGTGGAGACAGACAGACAGACAGACGGACAGACAGACGGACGGACAGACGGACGGACAGGCAGACGGACGGACAGGCAGACGGACAGACGGACAGACAGACAGACGGACAGACAGGCAGACGGACGGACAGACGGACGGACGGACGGACGGACGGACAGACGGACGGACGGACGGACAGACAGACAGACAGACAGACAGACAGACAGACAGACAGACAGACAGACAGACAGACAGACAGACAGACAGACAGACAGACCAAAATTTTTGCGTCGAAGTACCCCGATAAAGACAATCGTCATTAACCATCTTCCGCTAAAGGGAACCATCTGTAGATGTGAAGTAGCGGGTGCTAACGCTTACGCTGGTGGCGGCGTGGACGCTGGCACTCATCGCGGTGTTTGGCGGGAGAGCAGCCTGACAAGGCGCAATACACGCCGTTCTGGACCGGTGTTTTCTACTGGAACATGCCAATCGCTGCTAATGGGCAAGGAGAGACGGAAGACTCCGACTGGACCCAGAAACAAGTAGTCCTCTTGTGGTTAACGCGCATGCTGCAAAATTTTCTTATTCAACAATGCACCGGAGAAATCTCCCGCCGGAACTACCTTGAAGGTCAACACTCAGTGCCGATATATATGGGAGGACCAATGATGGGTTGTTCAGCACGAGCGGTCAATTTTTTTTTTTTTTCAATCAAGAAACTCGCTAGCGGACGCTGCCTGCATCGGCTTTGAAAGGCGAAATAGGGGTGGTGATGTCCATGAGCAGTGGAGCACGGACGCCACAGGATCAAGCTCGCTCATGAGATGCTTCGCATTTAAAATTTCTGGCTACGCCTCTGCCGAGTGCAAGCAACAGCGAAGGGTTGAGTTTCATAAAGGACATGGACATTAGAAGCTAAGCCCTGGGCAACTACGAGCTGGGGCGCGAGGTGCTTCTACGTTGTAATAGCAGCCCAACCTCCTGCATTTGCATAAACAGGGCGTTCACTGTGGAACCTGAATTCTTAACGAAGAAATGTGAAACTATCCGCGATGGAAACTTTGCGAAACTCCCCGTGAAAGCTAGCAACATGTATCACTATAAAACAGAAGCCACAGTGTGTCTCTCAGCCTTGATGCAAGCTTCCAGCATTCTGTCTACCATGCAAACCAGGATGGCTCGCTGGAGTTTCAGTAAACTTGTGCTTTTGTGTTAAGGAAATGAAAAAAATTGAACGAAAGTAACACACGTAATCGAATAAATCTCTGTATGACTGGTCAGTTTTTTTCGGGGTTTTAATTGACCACTATAACCAAATCATTTTAAAAGAAGTCAAAATTGTTATATTCTGCAACATGTACAAGTCTGACTGTGTGTACCCTTTTTTGAATGGCACGTAAAATTTTTTTTGGTGACACGACAGCTCTATTAAAATCTAATGATGTCTAAAGGGAGTTCAGGTGTCTCTTGACTCACTTGCTGGATAAAGTCCCTGAAAAATAAACTAAAGTAGCGCCAACCACACCCTTTCGCCTCTACCTCCTCTCCCAGCAGCCACAGCAGCGCCTCTAGAGTGTCCACGAGGAAACTACGAATGCGAAAGCGCGCGCCTCAATCGCCTCAATCGCCGCCTCAATCGCCGCCTCAATCGAAAATGCAGCCGCCGCGGTCGGCATGGATCAAGTCAGAGACGCAACGTTTACACGGCACTAAACGCGGCACGCGTTTCAACTGGCATGCACGTTTACCATCGACGTGGTTACTCTCTTTGTGTGATGCTCGAGCTTGACAGTACCGCAACACTGTAAACACGAATACAAGCGAAACGATAGAGTTTAGCTCGCCGGTACTCACCTCACAAAGCCGCTACGATAGAGGATCCAAGTCAGTCCTTCCGATACGCTGGAGCCACAATTCTTGCCGAGCGGCATTGTCTTTTCCTCGCGGAAGCGAAAATAGCTTCTTTCCTCTGCTGTACCTGCTTTTGCAACCGCTGGCACAGCAGGTCGGCATCCCGAAACGTGCAGGATTACCATGCACACACTCACGCGCAGTCGAACTCCGGCTACACAACAATACCAAACGCGCACGCCTAGCCACAAACACCGCGAAAGTGGACAAACAAAATGGCGTTTGCGATGCCTTCACAAAGACTAGTGCGTCATGCTGTAGTTTTTATTACACGGACAGCAGTGGCGCTGCCATCGAGAGCGTCACCGCTGAGCGCGTCTGCATGCAAACGGTGGGCTATCGCGTTGAGTATTGCGTGCTTGCGGTGATGTCTTTTTCCACTGCATGCCACTTGCTTATATACACGTCATATCGTCGTTTTTAACGTTACTTTTTATATTTTTTTTCTTTCTCAATCATTCTTTTGGTGCATCGCCTAGAACCGCAGCGCTCAGATGCGCTTTAACGGAAACATGAGCACAAGCTCATCTTTGCGGCCAGGAGCCATACAGCCCCACAACTAGCGTCGTTTACTATCTGCAATGCACGCGAGGCGAGAGGAGTCTGCACATTGACACGAATGGTGCTACTTTAGTTTATTTTTCAGGGACTTTATTGCTGGATTCCGTGCCGACCGGTTGTGCGCCCGCGCGCTCCGCGCGCTTGCGACCTTCGGCGTCAGCGTAGCTCTGGCCGACTGGGCTCGCCCTGCGTCACCTCCTGCCGCCGACGACCTTCGACGACAGTGTAGCTCTGACTTACTGGACCTGCTCTACGTTATCTACAGACGCTGACAACATCTATCGCTAGTGTACGCCGTCCTCGGACTCCAGTGACCGTGCTTCCATCTTTCCTGTCTCTCCTATCCCCTCAGTTTGTTGTTGCTTCTTTCTCTTTTCTACACCTTTACTTCTACCCTTTTTATCCCTCCTCACCCCCATCCCTTGCGAGCTCTGTGGCGGTGTCGCTCACTGAAGCAGACAATAACGGGGCTCACCTTTCTCTTCCTTTCCCTTTCTTAAGAACCATCTTTATAGAGAGACATACGAAGCGAGAAAATACTCACAAAAGGAGTCAAAGCCCACCGCCCCTTTATTTGGTCTTGCTCATTTGTGAAGAGTGGGCTCGGCAGCAACACCAAGATGCAGTGCTCAAACCCGCTGCTGTTTTTCATGCAGAAATTGCTTGGCTTGCTGCGGTTATCATCAACAGCGGCACAATGGGATGCGCTACAGCTGCAACATTTAGCGCCTAACACGACGATCGAAGGACTACCGCCCCATGACGTGCTTCGCTACCGGCCATGTGATGGCGTCCCGGGCGGCGCTACACTACAATTCTTGGAACCGGCAGATCTATCGGCATCGAGGATCACAGCTATAAAGCAAGCTCCGCAAGGACCGCGTGGCAGTGGGCTCGGCAGCAACACCAAGATGCAGTGCTCAAACCCGCTGCTGTTTTTCATGCAGAAATTGCTTGGCTTGCTGCGGTTATCATCAACAGCGGCACAATGGGATGCGCTACAGCTGCAACATTTAGCGCCTAACACGACGATCGAAGGACTACCGCCCCATGACGTGCTTCGCTACCGGCCATGTGATGGCGTCCCGGGCGGCGCTACACTACAATTCTTGGAACCGGCAGATCTATCGGCATCGAGGATCACAGCTATAAAGCAAGCTCCGCAAGGACCGCGTGGCAGTGGGCTCGGCAGCAACACCAAGATGCAGTGCTCAAACCCGCTGCTGTTTTTCATGCAGGTGAGAAAACGCAACGCTAAATCTTATCATAGCGATGACGTCTGCCTACTTTTGCTGCCGTGCCCACGGTCCATAACGCTATTGTGTGAAATGTTACACGATGTCATTAATTCTCTAACATTTTTGTTGCTTCTCGGTGGCGACATCGAAGAAAATCCGGGACCTACAGTAGCAGAACAGCTAAAACTGATAGCTGAAGACATTCAGGAAATTAAGAACGGAAAAACTGAAATCAACGAAAAGTTGAATGCAATAGATAAAAAGATTGAGAAAATCGGCGGGCTTGAAAAACAAATAGTAGACTGCACGAAAAGAATATCGGAGCTGG